ACCAAATTATAGTGGTCTTCCTTGTAGGTGCATGGATATTATACTATCACAGACAACATTGAACTTCAAGATAGATCTTGAAATCTTGTTTTTGAAGATGAATGTGGCACCATTCTTCTTCATTTTGATGTTCTTGATGTAGTAAACCATATGACTAATTCAAAGTGACTAATATTAGTCTATTTCAGATCACTAATGCCTAAAATATTGGTCCTTATGTGTTCCATTTCATGTATGACAACTTCCAATTTTCCTAGATTCACACTTCATACATTCCACATTCTGATTATTAATGATGTTTGCAGCTATTTCTTCACATTTTAAGATATGCCCCCCATCAGCAAAGGAAGGTCCTCATAGCTTTGCTCCATTCACATCATTGTGGCCAACTCTACTTTAAGGAGGCAGCTCTTCCCTGATCACATTTTAAGTGCCTTCCAACCTAAGGGGCTCATCTTCTGCCAACACTATATCAGACAATGTTCTACTGCTATTCATAAGGTTTTCATTTACTGGCACTGTATCTGGCAATGTTATACTGCTGGTTATAAACTTTTAAGTGGCTAGCCATTCAGCAGTAGTCCACCTTTCCTTCTCCCTAGTCTGTCTTAGCCTGGAAGCTCCTCTGAAACCTGTCCACCATGGGTGACCCTACTGGTATTTAAAATACCAGTGGCCCTAGTATCCAGCATCACAGCAACATGCAGGCCACCTGACAGATGAGGGGTGGTTCAGAGGACTAGAAGATAGTATTTGAGAGAGCAGGCTCCACAAAAGTAACAAGTATTGCAGTAAAATAAATAGAAATGATTGATTGATTGATGCACTTCTCAGGTGCATAGGGATTATTGTGTATACAGGGATTGTCCAGTATATGACGATTGTCATATATATGGTGATTGTCGTGTATATGGGAATTGTCGTGTATGTAGGATTATCATGTATACAGGGATTGTCATGTATACAGGGATTGTCGTGTATGTAGGCATTGTCGTTGTATTCAGGGATTGCTGTGTGCACAGGGATTGTCGTGTGTATAGGGATTGTCATATATACAGGGACTGTCGTGTGTACAGGGATTGTCATGTATACAGGGATTGTCATGTATATAGGGATTGTCGTTGTATTCAGGGATTGTCGTGTGCACAGGGATTGTCATATATACAGGGACTGTCGTGTGTACAGGGGTTGTCATGTGTATACATACTGATCTAAGCACTTTACATGTATCATTTCATCCTCCCCATAACCCTGATGAGATACTAAACCTGATGTCATTAGGTAGATTCCAGTTCACAGAGACTTTGTATTCTAGAGTAGAACTGCCTCACATGGTTTCTAAGGTTGACATCTTTACAGAGATAGACTGCCACATTGTTCTCCCATGGAGAGGCTGATGGCTTCGAACTATTGACCTTTCAGTTAGCAGCCTAGTGTTTAACCTCTATACCACCAGGGCCCCTACCTAATAAGATAAGTACTATTATTATCCCCATTTTCTTTTCAGAGCAAGCTTAGTGAAGGTAGTAAGATTACCTACCTAGTAAATGATTCAGATACAGGTAGTTTCCATCTAGGGTAGTCCATACTCACTACTAAGATTAAAAAAAAAGGGGGGCGGATCAAGTGAGGACAGACAGAGGCAAGACAAAGCCTTTCTAACTGTGGTAGGCAGTAGCATATGTCTAACTTAATAAAGCTGTGAGTTGAGTGTTCAAACCTTCACACGTCAAGAGGAAGGGAAATGAATCACCACTATCTCTCACTCCTCAGTCACCCGGAGCCAATTAGGACTTTTCACAGTTACTCTCTCCTTGCATTTCTAAAGTAACAAACAGTGCCCCTCATCCTGAAGCTCACTTTTCTACATATGATTGACATCAACTTCAAAATCACTATCAGGTTCTTCGTTAATGCAAGGCAATAGAGCATTCAAACATAAAAAGAACAGAATAATTAAGCATTGTAAACATCTCCCTATTTGATTTCTTCAAAGTGAGGTTCAAAGAAACTGATTTTGCCCACAGTCACACGCTGACCACATGGACCATCTGGTAGCCAAGTTCCCCAAGTCTTCCTACTTCTTCTCTACCCAGTTTGATATTTGAAGAAAATGAAATATAGAAGACTTTATGCAACTTTAGTCTGGACTGAGATTTAGGTAAAAAGTCACAGAGACTCAGGCTTGAGAATCTGTAGGATGGGACCTTATCATGGTGAGAACTAGCTAACAATGGCAAGGAATCCTTTGCAAAACAGTGAGCTGTCAGACACTGGGAGTGTTCCAGGTGAACATGTTTAAACTCTAGAATACCCTGCCCCAGCTCAGAGAGAAGAACCTCAATTCTCTGGATGAAGCAGAGAATGCCATTTACTTTGAGTGGACATCAGAGACATTATGATGGAATGGATTCCTGGATTGGGCAGTGATGGTTCTTGATAACTCTAAGGTAGTGCGGTGATGATGATAATGATGTCACTGATGATGAAGAAAAGGAGGAAGAGCAGGATTAAAGGTCACCAAATCATCACTATTGTTTTTTCAGTCCCATGATCAAAGTTAGATACCCAAGCTCTTTGGAAAATTAATCAGTTTGACCACAGAGAATAACCAGATCTGGTGCAGTTAGTTGTTAGAAAGAACTCAGACATTTCTTTTTCTATGAACTGACTACTTTGTGGCTAATGCATTTCTATTTTAAACCTGGTACCTGTGGGTCTCTGCAATGGTGTCTTGTTCTTGGACCACATAATTAGTAACTATTGTTATTGTTGTTAAGTGCCATCTAGTCGGTACTGACTCATAGTGACCTTATGGACCACAGAATGAAACACTGCACAATCCTAAGCCAACCTCACTACTGTTTCCATGCTTGAGTCCATCGATGCTGCCACTTGGCCAATCCATATCGTTGGGGGTCTTCCTCTCTTTCTCTGTCCCTCCACCTTACCAAACATGATATCCTTCTCCAGTGACTGGGTCCTCCTGACAATATGTCCAAAATATGAGAGACGAAGTTTGGCCATATTGGCCTCCAAGGAGCACTCTGGCTGCACTTCTTCCAACACAGATCTAATGGTTCTTTTGGCAGTCCATGGCACTTTCAATATTCTCCTCCAACACCATAATTCAAAAGCCTCAATTCTTCTACAGTCTTCCTTATTCACTATCCAGCTTTTGCATGCATATGAGGTTATTGAAAATACCATGGCTTGGGTCAGGCTCACCTTAGTCCTCAAGCTGACATTTTCAAAAGGTTTTGTGCAGCAGATTTGAATAATGCAATACATCATTTGATTTCTTGACTGCTGCTTCCATGAGTGTTAATAGTTGATCCAAGAAGAATGACGTCCTTGACAACTTCAATCTTTTTTTCCATTGATAAGAATGTTGTTTATTGGTCCAGTGGTGAGGATTTTTGTTTTCTTAACATTGAGATGTAATCCATACCGAAGGCTGTGCTCTTTGATCTTCATCAGTAGATGTTTTAAGTCCTCTTCTATTAGTAACATGGATTTTCTGTGGCTTTTCTAGGAGTGAGGATGGTTTGTGATTATTCTTCAGGGGCACATCCCTGGTTCCTCTCTGGACACCAAGTAGGGAATCCACAAACAGAGGTCAGCCTTGATATCAGAGGGTAGAAAAGCCATTGTCCTGCACAAGCAATAAACATGTAAATTGAAGCAGCATTGTTCTTCCCCCTTGGAGCTCATAAGCAGCAGGCAGGCCCCCAAATGTTAGATATTACCCTGAGCAGTATGTTCCAGTCTAAGACTCAGGCACCCCAAGAAGCTGGCAAAAGAGTAAAAACCATATAACTATTATTTGTGAACATCATACCAACAACTAGTTGCACCCAGACCCTTCTCTTAGTACTGTGGACATGAAATCCAAGATGCTGTAAGAGTTCTGCTTCCTAGCTTCCTTTATAAAATAACTCTTCAAAATTCCTATCAGTGCTGACAAAGTGCCCAGCCTTGTGCAATTAATGCTTTCCTAACAAAAATGACAACAAAGCTGAATGTAGCTTTCTATTAAAAAAAAAAAAAAGATCCTAAAGCTGCATGATCTAAGGCAAGTTGCAAACTTCTCTGGCATTAGAAGGAAACTGAGGGGCTTGGTTTAGGCTGACTGCAAGGAGGTATTTTTCCATTTTCAAAACCCTTTCTCTTAAAAGAACTGGATTATTTCTTAGTCTAGTGACTCCCAAGATAATTCCGAAAAATACAGCAAGACTAAGGCAAATGCACATTTACAGCTGACCTTCCAGAAGGTTTTAAGGCTGACAAATTATGGAGTGCTCTGGATAATCAAAATAAAGTTACTGCCACCCCCTGGGCCAATAGCAGAAGGGCATCAAGCTTATTATTGGTCCATCAGTCTTGGCTTCTCCCCTGTGAGATGGAAGGGTGACACAAGCTGCAGATCTCATAGGATCCTTCTGTTCTGAGGGCCTTTGAGTCTATTTTTAATCATATATATATATATATATATGTTTATTGTTGTATAAACAAGAAGGCAAACACATACACACCCACTTCAGTAAAGCATGGCCCTAAATCTCCAAACCTAACAAAGAAGAAATAGAGCAAGATCCTGAAATGACTTCTAATTACTCATGAAGACAGTCAGTGTGAATTTGATTTGTTGTGTATGTGGCTGGCCGTTCTTCTGCTTTGTTAAAATGAGGTGAGTTCAGAGAGAAAAGTGAAGCTAGTTAAAGTCCTGCAGGATCTCCTTCCATCCCCTTTGTGATGAATGGTTCTGGGCTCTCAACAATGAAGGTCAGAGGGAGGATGAAGAGAATGCTTTGAAAAGGGTTTATGAAGTTATGAATTCCTCTTCATTTAAAAAAGTATTTAATTGCCTGTTTCTTCTTGTTGTTTTCTCCCTGCAAAACAAAACAAAACAAAACAAAAATTGCTGAAACAGAATTCTTCCAGAAGCCAAGCTCCGCTGTGAAGTAATTCATTCTCCTTTTTATTTTTTTAAATTACAGTATTCTCAAATGAGGGATGACGTGTTCAAGTCAAACTTGGTCTGTGCGTTTATCGTTCTACTGTTTATCACGGCAATCCAAAGTTTGCTTCCTGCTTCAAGGTAAATATGGTTGTTAAGTGCCGTCCAGTCAGTTCTGACTCATAGCGACTCTATATAGAGTTTCCAAGGAACAGCTGGTGGGTTTGAACCACCAACCTCGTGGTTAGCAGTCCAATGCTGATCCAACCATGCCACACCAGGACTGATTCAATTGTCAACTGACATGTCTTCATGAACTGACGGTCCCTTACCTGGAGTCAACCAACTGACCATTCCAGGGACCAAAATGTAAAATAATGGATTTGAGAATTCTTGCCAAATGGTTGGACAGTTATCAGTGTCTTTTCTGATTGTCTTATTCTGTGTTATACCTAATATCTCTGCCAAGGCAAGAGCCTTTTTTGCCCATAATAACGAAAACAACAAAAGCCAAATTAGGTCTCACTCTTATTTGACATTACACCCATGAATACAGAAAGTAAGTATAAGAATATTAGTCACCATTTACTTGTTGTTTTGTTCATTATATCCGAGTTGTTCATAGATACAGCATCAAGTTGCCTGACTCAGCAAAATTGGCACTTTAATAAGAATGCAAACACCTACATGTGTGCCAAACACTGTCCCAAATACTTTACAAACAGCAACTCTTGATATCCCAATGACAGCCAAGTGAGATAGGTACTATTTTTGTCCCCATGCTAAAGAGGAGAAAACCAAGGTTTTGAAAAGTGAAATAATTTTCCCACTGGTTCAAAAGTTGAAAGCTATTACAGTCTGGATATAAACTTAGGAATTCTAGCTCCAGAGTCTTCACTCTTAACACTATATTGTTGTTATGAAGTGCCATAGAGTCCGTTCCGACTCATAGTGACTCTGCATAGGGTTTCCGAGGAGCAGCTGGTGGGTTTGAACTGCCAACCTTGTAGTTCAAACCAACCTAGTGGTTTAGTACTTACCCCATAGTGCCATACCAGCAATTCAAATTAGACACATAAATTGCACAGATTATTGGCGCCAGTGCCAAGATTTGAACCTAGCTCTTTCCTCTTGCCTACTCTGTAGGTAGCTCTACCATCTTTTCTTAGCTCAATTCCCTTCTTCATAATCTTACCATGTAATTTCCCCTTACAAGTAGTTGAGAAAAATATCACCAATAGACAGTTGTTACATGTCTAACATATGCAAAGAAACATGCTAGAGCCTTGTTGTTGTTAAGTACCATTGAGTCAATTCTGATTCATATGAACGCTGTATAGAATTTCTGAGGAGCAGCTGGTGAGTTTGCATCGCCAACCTTGAGGTTCAAACCAACCTTGTGGTCCAGTGCTTATCCTACAGTGGCACACTAGAACTCAATATGCTAGGGAAGTTATAACTATACCTAGGGAAGGTATAACTTTGCAAGGGTGGTCCGCAGCTTCTAAGACATAGTTTAATGAGAATGAGAGACAGCACTGATGACTTCCAGGTACTGAGCAAAATTATTTAGTTGAATCATCTCAACAAAGACTCAAAAACAACCAGTAAGTGAGAGTGCATTGTAATTCAAAGTCACATAAGTCTACAATGGTTGAATTGGAATTTGAACAGAAAAACAAAGTTTCTGTAACTGCTTAACTACATTGCACCAAAATAAATCACTCCTTCTAACTAAATGGTTCAAGCAAAAGTTTGCCAAAATGGTGATGTTTAGGGCTGAGGAGAATGAAGGAGAAAGAAAAGAGGAGCATTCTTAGTTTAGAAAACAGCACTGCAAAAGGCAGAGAAGCAGGAGCTATCATGTGTAGGTAGAATAGTTAAGTAAATTGGAAGGTCTAAAAGAAGGACTTGAACATATAGATGTGGTGAGTACCATGAAAAAGGACAGAACTAGATGATGAAAGTTCAAGTTCATAATGCATTCCTAAGGAATTTGGAATTGTTCTAGTACTACAGAAACCCTGAGGATTTGATGAAGGGAAGATGTTCATACTTACTAACACTTAGGGAATGATTAGTCTGAAACTTTTCTGAATGGACAAGGGATATTAGGGGAAGGAGGAAGGGGATTCTGGGAAGATGTTGGGAACAATATCTGAGCAATTAGATGGCAAAACCAAAAAGCCCATGGATTATACTTATGACAGTAACAGGTACCAAAGTAGACCCATGAGTTCCAAAATGTAGGTGGGTATGAACACTCCACTTTGGGACTATTTGTTTCTAGGTTCAAATCCCAATACTGCAGACCATACATTCATCTCAAGTCTACATGAAACATTCACCAAGAAAGACCACATTCTGGGCCATAAACCACACCACCTTAATACATCTTAAAGAATAGAAATGATACAAATTATGCTTTCAATCCACAATAGAATTAAACTAGAATTCAATATTAGAAAAATCCCCTGAATATCTGAAAGCTAAAAATTCTTGACCTATGGGTCAAGGACATCTCACGAGAAAGTTTTATAAATATTTTGAACTAAATGAAAATGAAGTGATTATATCACAGTGTGTGAGATGCAGTGCTAGCCATACTTAGAGGGCAATTCATAGCATTAGAACAAATAAGAGATTAAAAATTGGTCATCTCAGCTTCCACCTGGAAAGTACTAGACGTTGAGTGTTCCACAGGTGAAGGTCTTGTAAGTTTAGTTAAGGAATTGGGACTGGTTGTCAGAAGAGAGTGTATTATTATATTTAAACCAAACAAGTGAGGTGATGGGGTTTATATTAGAAGTGCCACACTGGACATGGATCATGGATTGGAGAGTTAGGCCTAGTGTTGGGAAAACAAGCTGCAAAAATCCAGGTAAGAAATAATAGAACAGGGGATAAGCAAGAGAAGAAGGATTTGTAGACATTTAGGGCATCGAGTTGACAGAATCTATGGCTGTGAGTGAGTGAGAGGGAGGGGACGAGGAGAACCCTGAGGGTCTGGACTTGGTACAAGGAAAGAAGAAAGGGTCACTGTCCCCATAGGAACTCAAGCATCACACTCCTCAGATGCCCTGGGCAGGCTTCTCTCTGGTGACCCAGCCACTGATTCCCCAATTTCTAGGAGCCTCACTATGTAACTCTGGGGTTCAACAGAAGCCAGTAACTGAAATACACCCAGTGCCCAACTCTCACTTGCATAGTGAAGACAAAACCCTGAAAATGAAGAAAACTTGAAAGCTGAACATGTTGTGGGAATTGAGTGGCCCATAGGCCCCAGACCCAGCAAAAGCTTTCTTTAATGTGCACTTGCTTCCTCTCCAACTCATTTGGTTTCTGACTGATTCTTGGTGATTAAACAGATGGTGAATGCCTTTCCTTTGTATTTCTTATGTCATGAAGTTTTTAGCAGATGAGGCAGTCTCTGTTCATATGACCACCGTTAATTCCCAGCCTCTGCTGCAAAAATTAACAGACCTTGACGAAGAAAGATGGTGCTGGCCCAGCTTCTGCCTCTAATTCCCACATGTGTACAGACGTTCCTCTCCCAGAGGGTGAACTGAGGAAAGACGTGAAAATACATTTTAGAACTATAGGACAATACATTTAAATCTAGATGGATGAAAGAGAAAGAAATAAAATAAAAGGAGAAACAGGGTGGGCAGGAGGGAAGAAGAGAGGAAAAACAGCAATGGAAAAAATGACAAAACAAAAGAAGATTCTGGATCATAGTTCTTTCTGTGAAATTTACTAGCTGTACAAAAGGGCTTCAAAAGGTTCAGGGGAAAATGAGATTTCTCCATGAAGTTTTTGAAGCCCACAGATACACCCTGAACAATGTTACATACACTTCTGAAGCCTCAGTTTCTTCATCGATAAAATAGGAACAATAATGCCCACTTCCCATAGTTGCTGTAAGAATTCAATGAACCATATTTTTTTTCCTGTAAATTGTTGTTTCCATCCCTTTTATGAGCCACAGTATTTTCACCTATTAAAGGAACTAAAAGAAACATATTCCTCAGGGTTGCTAAGAGGATCAAATGCACTATTGGACTATCTCCCCCCTTGCAAGTTCTAAAATGCCAATGCCAACTAACAGTACAATAGAAGTTTATGTGTCCCATTTTTCAAATCTGCTACAGGCTGTTACCTTGTCCTAACTGATCTCTGCCTTCCCAGGAAACATTGAACTATGATACCAACTCAAACCCATTTCAGAGACAGACTGCAGAGAGTAATTAGAACCTAATGTCTAAAAATGATTTTGATAGAGCTGTTTGCAAATTCCTTGTCATTCTCTCTGAGTCTTGATTTCAGAAATGAAAGGTTTTCTTGCCTCTTGGGTACACCAACAATGTAAAAGCAAATTCAGGACCCCTGGATACCTGACTAGCTCTATAATTAGATAAAAATTACAATTTGATGTGATCATCTTGGTGTGTGCAGAAATAAATAAACACTGTGGAGCTGCTGCTAAGATTTCCAGAGGAATTTTATACACAGTGCCAGTATCTTGCTTAGAAAGCCTGTCTTGTAATGAATACTTTGACCATAGATCTTTAAAATGCCTCTGGTTTCCTGGATGATTACATCATGAATAGAGAGAGAAAATGAACATTTTTTTTTTGAGTTATCATGTGGGAGGCATTATATTACATTATAACTCTATTTAACCTCAGAAGTTCATTTAAATAGACTCTAAAATCCCAGTTGTATAGATTAGAAAAGGAGGCTAAAAAGAGTTAGCTACTGTGCCCAAAGTCAATGTTTTGGAGTTGTAGAAAAGCTTTGGTCTTCTGACATCTGTTTCAGCAAACCCAGAAGGATGTACTAAGCATTCAAAACTGTGTTAGGGACTCGGGTAGGTTCTGTATGCAAATCCTCCTGAACAACCCTTAGCATGTTGCATGCTATCCCCCCAGAGTGTTCACAAAAGCCCAAAAGCTAAATGGGCAACAAAGCATGGAGTTTATACATTTCCAAGCAAATGTCTCATCAGCATATGCAAAACTAAGATAAAAGCTGAAATAAACAATGTGTCTAAAGTCAAGAGCCATGTAGGCTTCGTGTTTCATCCATCTTTCTTCTCTGCCTGTCCCCCATCAACCTTCAGACTCTTGTGTGTGATTGTT